GCTGATCAACTATTTGTTATACGCACACTTACTTTGTAAAAATTTGATATTTTCATATATTGTATTCATATATTGTATTGTATTGATATCTTCATATATCGTGCAAGAAGTGAAATAATTTCATGGATAATAACTCATGAAGATTATTCGTTCCTATGTAACAAATCCACACCAATTTATTCACGCACCCGATTGATTTATAAACGAATTTATATAATTCACCATTACTATTATTATCATTATAAATTATTATCAATTAATCATTTGACGATTAAGAATTACTCGAATAAAAAAACCCAGAATTACACGCAATCACAGTAATCAAAAGTTTTTCTTTTTTTATAATTATTATATTATCAATGTACTCATGGGTTTATCGCACTTAATCGAAAAAAATAAGGCATTTATGAACAAATCTATCGGTTCGTCATCAATCATTACCAGTTAATTATTTAGCAAATTAGAATTATTTGAAGAAAGAATCATATGCGTAATGATAATTATCAACCAGAAATTTTCTTTTATAAACTAAATTATATGTATCTGTTATATGTATCTGTTATATGTATATGTTATATCAAACGGATCCTTAATTGACGAAAAAAAGTCTTTTAATCTGATTACTTACTCTTTCAAAGCAAATGATGTAACATATAAACAAAAGACTTGAATTAAATTAAAGCAGTGTTTGAGATAATCGATTTCTAAAGATAATCCTCATACTTATAAAATTCTTTATTTATCTTTTAATCAGATCTTTCGATCGTGTTAAAAAATTATACATCTTTTAAGAAGTAAACTTTTATAAACTTTATAAAACTTTTATTATTCTTATTACTTTAATTATTATTAAATTATTAAAATAAAATGATCTGAATAATTGAGATAAAATGAATATAATGCAAGTAAAAAATTCTGAATGCAAGATTATTTCGCCGGTGCTCAATATCTCTCATTCTTTTTTTAACGTAGGAGAATAATTCGTGAAAAATATTTGTAAATAATTATAATTGCTCGCGGACTAATTTTAAATAAATCTTTTGCTCATGTTTAATCGCCCATAAAAATGTCACGTCAAACAAGTTAGCATCCGAGTCGGCCAGCTGTCCAAGACACACAGTTAAAACAAGAATTATGTTCGAACCAAAAAAACAATCGATCAAATTGTCTTTTGTTTCGTGCAAAAATTGACTCGATTATTAAAAATTAATGACAATTACAAATTCTTTAGGTTATTATATGTATACATGATATCGCAGCCGGACTATTAAGAAACTTGATAGATATTATAAGAAAAAAAAGTATTCGACGATGATGTCTAACAATCTAGACAATTGAAATCCAATCTCTTATCCTATGCACAAAATTGTCAGTAAAGCTTTGATTAAATCAAGTTAAAATAATTCCCTAGGAAAAAGGAAAAAGTAAAAAAGTATTAATAAAAACTAATATTTACTGTTTGTCACATAAAAACCATCGAATGACTTATGACTATGTACGCATTATTAGTAATATTTAACAATATTAATGTTATTAATAATAATGCAACGGGTTAACAGTTTTAATATATACATTGTATAATATTCACAATTTGCTCGTTCGATTATTGTCAATTAAGTCAAGTTAATATGAATTATATGAGTTATTTATTAAAATCAATATATTTAAAGTTAATGTATTTCTGATAGTTTGATGATATTTATATCCAAACATAGACCTTGAATTATAACAATAATGATGCATGCACAATTTTATAAAATAATTTGATTGAATATATTTAAATGAAATCGACACTGTGTGTGTTAAGAAATTATTTTTGGAATATTCTGTTGAATCAATAGAATTATTTTCTTTAAAAAATATTTAATTTATTATGATGTTCCAATACGCAAAATAATTAATTTACAATTCATTATAATAGATTGAAAATATGTTGAAATAATAATGTAATAATGAACAATTAGACAGAATTAATACATAATTAATTTATACATAATTAATTTATTATAAATTTATAAATTGTTTTATCACATTCTGATCTGATTATCATTTATTACTGATTATTTATTGAAAATGATTATATCTTCTAGAAGAGTGATACATCGTATAGCCTGTTCATTTCAGCCCTATTCATATCTGAGAAATGCACTTCTGAGAATTTAATAATCTTGGCATATAGACACAAATAAGCTATAAAACTATAAAAGTAATAATACATTCAAAGTTTCATAAAACTGAATATTACATACAAAAAGTAAATTATGCGTTATGCACGCATAATTTACTTTTTTAAGAAGAAGAAGCAGATGTTAACATAATATTATTACATTATTATTACATTATTATTAATTCTTTGATACACAATACATATTATCAAAATACAGAATCTTTAATCCCCTGCAAAATAAGCATAACAAAAAACCAATTGTTGCAACAATAAAAAGAAAAACAATAAATTTCAATAAATTAGATATTTTCGAGTTTCGATATTACATGTAATTTTTTAAAAAAAAAAAAAGATAAGATAAGAACGAATAAATATTAAATTCATAAATCTTATCTATAATCTTTTAAATTTCGTTATGAAATTATTAATTGTTTTTTATTGTATCTGATTTATATCTCCTTATTTGTGTCTTATTGCCCGCATTATCTTTGCATTTATCTTTTATTTTGTTAAAATGATATTTTAGCCAATAAAGTGTTTTGTGTTTTAGTATTGACAATTTAACGAGTTATAGTGAATCTGACAGTTTTTTATTGAAATAGATTTTAACATACAATTTATGGTTGATAAATTCATCAACAGCAAATTGAGCATAATCTGTCAAATGCAGGCTGTGCATAATTTTTGCATAATTTTTGATGATATTAAAACATGTCGGCCAAACATGAGCTTAATATCGATAGAGATATCGGATCTGTTGCAATATTCTGAATAAATTTATTAATTCTGAATTAATTTATCAGAGTTTATACCTATTTGTACATAAACATTTTATAAATAAAATCCGCGAAATCATAATTTCTGATCATAATTTCATTCTTAGAAATTTTTTTCTGCTTCTGCTTATATGCAAAATCTTGTATGCTTATGCAATTTGATATTTATTAAAACTGTCTTTGATTAATTAATATTTTAGCTGTTTATTTATTGTTCGCTATAAAGATTTTATTTGTGACTTTTCGCAGCATATATCTCTAGTTTTATAATTTCAACAATTTAATATCTTTAATTTTAAAATTATTTTAATTTTAATTTCAGCTCTCTTGAACAGTCGTGATTTTATAACGTCATAGGTGAGAAACGTGATGTGCAGTAAGTTTGTTGCGATCAATAGTTTTATGTTTTAGTTTTCCAAAAATAATAATAGAACATAATAATTTTGTAATTTTGAAATCTGTAAAATATGCGGCAAATTGAGATATCTATCTAATACATGTCATGTAAGATCACGAAATAATTCTTAAATAAGGGTCACTTTTCAGTTATATACATGGGCAATGTGACAGCTAAATGTGAAAAATAATCTGTTATTTTAAGAATTATTTTATAATTCTACGTAACATAGAGATATACATCACATGCCGTATATTTTACAGATTTCAGGATTACTATGTTTTTCAGGAAAAAATGAAAAATAAAATTATATCACACAAAGAATTTACTGTATATCATTTCTCGTCTATGAATACAGACGTAACTGCAGCGAAATAATCAAGCCTTAATAAGAATTAATATAACTTATGAATAGGAAATATTTTATTTTTAAAGGAAATTAAACGCATTTATTTCACGTTCAAAATGTCATTTATGCATTTTTTTTGAATTTTTATAAATTTTGACACGATCTTATTCACTTTACATTAATCAGATTACTTTAATTAGAGTGCATTAATTATAATTGTTTTAAGATAATTAAGTTACTTTGAAATACTTTAAAATTTAAATTTAATTATTTAACGATCTCTATTTTATTACTAAATGTGATTTTTCACGCAAATTTTAAATTTGTCTTACTTTTATAAATTAATAATGTTTAAAGACATGCTTACTTTAATTCAATTTGACTTTGACTCGATTGAATTTTATTAAGATTTTCACAAAAACGTATTATATGATAAATATCTATGTAGACATAAATCTTAGAAAATCCTATTTATTCATATATAGTCGTAAATCTGTTATTGTTAAGTGACATCTACACACACACACACACACACACACACACACACACACAACAAT